TACCTCCGTCTTTATGGTTCTGACGTCTGATGCCCAGCACTCTTCCAAACGCTGAAACAGAAGAAAGAAAAAAAGAGTCACAGTGTCAAGATCCAACTTAGGGATGACTCAGGTGGGAGGGCTGTCAGGGGCTTTGATGCTGATCTGCCGGGGAGTAGAGGGAAGGGGCTGGCCTAGAGTGGGACCAGCCCTGGAATGATACCTAGCGCCTCCTGTGGTTCCCCAAGCATGACTATGACTCAGCCCTGAGCACCGCCAGGTGAGACCCAAAATAAAAGAAGATTAATATGGCTAAGAGATTTACTCCAAAGATCTACACAATTCAGCCCATGGGCCAAAGCTAGCCTCTGGCCTCCTAGTCTTTGTTCTCCTGCAAGCTAAAAATTCCTTTGCCTTTCTAGAGTGTTGTGGTTTTTTTTTTTTTAAGATTAGTTGTAGTCCACAAAGTGCCAAAGTATAAAATGTTTACTACCTGACCAATTATAGAAAAAAGGTTGTAAACCAATGACGTGGTGGAAAAGTTAGCAAAACGCAGAAACCAGTAGCAAATTCCAGCGAGAAGTGAGGGGGGGTTGTGGGGCGGTGGGGGGGGGAGGAAATCAAACGGAAAAGTTAGAAGTTTTGAAAAGCCTGCCAGAAGGGCCGGAGCGATAGTCCAGCGGAGAGGGCCTTGCACACGGCCGAGTGAGGTTCGATCCTCAGCATCCCATATGGTCCCCCGAGCACTGTCAGGAGTGATTCCTGAGTGCAGAGCCAGGAGTAGCCCCGAGCATTGCTGGGTGTGACCCCCAAAACAAATAAATAAAACCGTTACTTTAAAATGTTGTGTCCAGAAAGCTCCTCTCTTTTCTGTACAGAGCCAGAGAAAGTAGAGTTCTTTTTTTTTTTTTCTTTTGGGGTCACCAAACATCAGCCAAGCGGCACAAATGCTGGCCGACTTTGATCGTGAGTGTGGAAAGGTAGGACTACAGCTGAATCTTACGAAGACAATGTTTATGAGAAACAGCCTCGTTCCTGACGCCCCATTCGCTCTCAACGGAACGACTATCTCCGAATGCAACAGCTATGTGTACCTAGGTCGAGAGGTCAACATGACAAATGACCTGGCACCCGAGCTGCGCAGGAGGAAGAGAGCGGCTTGGAACGCCTTCAAGAGCGTCGAAGAAATAGCTAAGAGGACGAAGAACCTCTGGCTCCGGGCACATCTCTTTGATTCCACTGTTCTTCCTGCATTAACATATGCCTCAGAGACCTGGGCCCTACGCAAACAAGATGAGAACGCCATTCAGGTCTCCCAAAGAAGAATAGAAAGAGCTATGCTTGGAATATCACGTTTCACTCAAATGAGAGAACGAATCCGGAGTTCTGACATCCGTCGACGATCAAGGATCAGGGACGCTGTCTCATTTGCCAAGGTGTCGAAAATCAGATGGGCTGGTCACGTAATGAGATTTAAAGACGACCGTTGGACTAGAGCTGTTACTGATTGGATTCCACGGGATGTCAAGAGACCGCGTGGCCGCCCACCTACCAGATGGTCAGACTTCTTCGTCAAGATCATGAACGATCGGTTTGAGGCCCTTCATGTTCCCGGAGCGAACAGATGCCATTGGGCTACACTAGCACGCGACAGGGACAAATGGAGACGTTACTGGCGCCCGCTCGAGCAAATCGACAACTAACGGGAAGTTAAGTGATTAAGTGATTGGGGTCACACGCAGTGATGCTCAGAGGTTACTCCTGGCTCTGCACTCACGAATTACTCCTGGTGGTGCTCGGGGGACCATATGGGATGCTGGGAATTGAACCTGGGTCGGCCGCGTGCAAGGCAAATGCCCTACCCGCTGTGCTATCGCTCTGGCCCCGAGCCAGAGAAAGTTTTGTCCTCTGTATACTACTATCGCTGTCCCAACCTGCGGGTCTCAGAGTCACTCCCAGCCACAGCATGTACAAGGAGGGGCATGACTGAGCTATGACCCATAATATTCTATTTTAAAAACAGAAAACGGGCAGGTTGGACCCATAGAGCGTTAATATTGCCAATCTCTTGCCTTGAACTATGAAACAAGCTCCAGGCCTGGATGACCTAACTTCCATGAAAGAATTAAAACTCTTGACACACAAACCCCTCCAGGTAGTAGCCGAGGAAGGCCCCGCTTCCCAGCTCATTTTTATGAGGAGATTGTTTCCATCCTGCTAGCACTAAGCAAAGCCATTACAGGAGAAGAAAGCCGCAGGTCATTCAAGTTCACCGTGTAGGTGCAGAAGCCCCCCGTGAAGCTTTAGCAAACCAGAATCCACGCTCTGTCAGAAGGAGGATGTGTCACCATTGCCTGGCGTCCATCCGAGGAATATGAAAACTCATTCTTGTTTCAAGAACAAAAGAGTCAACCCCAGGGGCAGGAGCGAGAGTACAGCCGACCTGGTTCCATTCCCAGCCGCCCTGGAGGGCCCCCAAGCCCACCACGGGTGATCCCTGAGGCGCAGAGCCCAGGGTAAGCCCTGAGCACCGCGGTGTAGTCACAGAGGGGTCGGTGACGTGTGGAAACTGGGGAGGGGAGTATTTGTCCTACAAGGCGCCTTGCTGGTGTGTGAGTTAGCGTCAGGGGCTGCAACCAGACCTGGCCTCTTTGGGGGCTTTTGTTTGTTTTCAACTTGGGGGCCACATCCCAGGGTGTTCAGGGCTTACTCCTGGCTCTGTGCTTAGGGATCACTCCCGGTTGTATTTTGCTTAGGAGACCCCAGGGGGTGCCGGGGACTGAACCCAGGTAGGCTGCGTGCAAGGCAGTTTCCCCGCCGTGCTGTCTCTTCAGGCAAGTGCTCTGAACTATGCTGTATGCTGCACCCCCAGGCGTTCCCCAGACAGTTTCCATCCGCCACCCTCCGCTCTGCGGCTGCACAGAGATTGCCCGCCACTGTCTCGAAGACCGAGAACATCCCCTAGACCAAGACTCTCTTGCAAATCCACTGGCGCTCACTTCCATGGGCTAGGTTGCAGGAACAGATTAAAATGCAAAATTTGGAGGAAAACCAGAGTCACCGAGGAGATACGTCTGTGCGTAGCTTCCTGAAATGCGTCTGCCAGCAGAACTGGAGCTCAGCGCTCTTCTCTCAGCCCCGGGAGGTCGGACACCCCCTTCTGCACCCCCACAGGCTCCCCTGCCCGGCACGCGCTGGCCCCCGTTGTACCCTCATCTCCCTCCGAAAAGCAGCTCACTCCCACGACACTGCACGCCAGGGCTCCCTCGACCCGGCTTCGTGACACGGACCAGAGTGTGATTCTAACATTACTCAGAGGGTGCAGCTGATTACTCAGAACCCGACTTTGAACAATGACGGCTCAGAAACTTATCAGCACGACTGAAGTCACGAGCCCGGCGGCGGCGGCAGCGGCGGTTTCGTGAGTGGCGGCCGAGGGCGCGCAAGTCAGCGGCGCCTGCCACGGAAACGGAGCTTCCCATGGGCTCCCTGGCGCCTCATTCATTCCCTGCGTAGCTGAGATTTCACTTGAAATCTTCCCTCTCTTACTGGCTGCGTGTTAGATATTTTCAGAGACAGGAAAGTTCATCTATTTTAGCAGTTTCGGCAGTCGTGAAGAAAGTTGATAACAGCTCCAGCCCTGTGAGTCACCATCCCTAAACGTGCGTCTATCCCGAGTCCCAGCCTGGCGCGACGAAACACAACTCCCGCCTGTGAATGAGTCGGGCAGCGGGATTCCAGCTGGAGTCTCGCTGCTACAGGTTACTTTTTTTTTTCTTTTGAGGTACCTGCAATCAAGCCTAGGACTTTATATTTGCAGGGAAAGTGCCGTCCTGCAGAGCTTATCCCTCACACACCGTTGAGGCTTTTGGCTATCCAGCTTACCCCTTCCGTTCCAGCAACTTCTGTTAAGGACACCATGCCTTAGGGCTGGAGAGAGATTGCTGTGGGTCAGGTGCTTGCCTTATATGCAGCCCACTTGACTTTGGTCCCTGGCACCATCAGGAGTGATTCCTGAGCACAGAGGCAGGGTAAGCCCTGAGTAGTTCCTGGGAAGGCTCAAAAAAAAAAAAAATTTTAAAATACAGGTTTTTCTGTTTTTTTGCGTGTCTGAATATAAACACTTCGAACCATGAAAATATGTTACCCTCTGGAATAAAAGGGCTCGATTGACATTGTGCTTTTAAAAGTGTGTCCTACTCTGAGGCCAGAGTGCTCATACAGCAGGTAAGGGGCTTGCCTGCCCCAAGGCAGACCCTGAGCACCCTTGGGTGTCACACAGGAGTGACCCCTGAGCCTCAGAGCCAGGAGGAAGCCCTGAGCACCCTTGGGTGTCACCCAAAAACCAAACAAACAAGAAAAGCATTTCCTAGTGAAGAGAAGATGTTTTCAGTGACACATATCAGGCCTAGTATTTCAGGACCTGCGGTGGGGTTTCCCAGCGGCTTTCTTTGCGGCTTGCTGCCTCGTTCGAACCGTGCACGAGTGGAATCTGTGCCGCCGATCGCCCAAGGTCCAGGAGGAGAGTGTTGTCACAGGCGAAATCAATAAACAGCCCCAGAATCAACTCGACATGTGCGTTCAGTTCCATTTCCGTTGAGTCTCCCTTGTGACATGGGCCTTAACTTTCTCTTCCCACCGAGGGAAAGGCCATGCCAGGCAGGGCCCAGGAGCTGCAGGATCCTCAGCTTGGGAGGCGGCCCTGACAACTCAGGGCACGCCCCCCCCCACCCCTGCCGCCAGACCCACAAAAATCCAGGCCTCCCTCAGAAGTGGACTCATGGGGCCAGAGAGCAAGCACAGAGGGTAGGGCGCTTGCCTGGCCCCGCGGCTCACCCAGGTTTGGTCCCCATTATTCCGCCTGGACCCTCAAAACCAGCCGGGAGTGAGCCCTGCGCATCACCAGGCGTGACCCAGAAACTGACCACCCAGACCAACAAAGGGAACTCAGGCTGGTGTGTGGCCCCCTCCCCAAAGGGGAAGGCGTCGGCCCGCATCCCACACGCCTCTTTCTCTTGCAGGTGATCACCTTCTTCAGCTCGAGGCTGCTCCAGGCGGGGGCTGAGCTGTCGGTGGAGCGGGTCCTGGAGATCATCAAGCAAGGGGTGGTGGCACTGCCCAAGGACCGGCTGAAGGTAAGGCTGCAGGGGGGAGCTGGCATCGTGCGGTTCCGCTCACACTCGGCCCACTCTCGCCCGCGCGGTCCTGGCAGGAAGGCTCCTCGAGGCTGCCCGCCCCTCTGCCTGCCCCTGCTTGTCCCCCACCCCCACCCCGTTCCCTCTCCTCTGTCAGAGTGCTCGCTCCTCGGTGGGCCGCGGGCGGGGCGCTGACCTTCCCCGGAGTGTCTTATCACCCCGACCATTCCGGAGTTCCCGTGCCGCACAGAGAGGCATTACTTCACGCTATCTCGAGAACCGCCGCCTAATGAGTGCCGGAGAGATATTGTTGCAGGGTGTGAAAATATTTTCAGTTCTAACAACACGGTTTGTAAAACAACCACCGCACATCCGTCCTGTAATCAGTCACAGGGTTCCGCCCTCCACAAGCAGCTGTGAGACCGCGGGGTGCCGAGCGGCGTGGCGAGGTGCTGCTGGGTGCCGGCCACATGGCACCGCACCCGGCGCAGAGGGCGCTGGCCTTGCTCATCCCTGACCCGGGTTCGATCCCTAGCTTTCCATCCAAGGAATGATTCCCACGTGCAGAGCTAGGGTTAACCCCCCGAGCAGCGCTGGACGTGGCCCAAAAAAAGCAACAAAATTAATAGCCTCTCCGCGTGGCAACCAGCATAGAATTTTTTTTTCCTTTCACTATTTTAAATGGACTCAAACTCTCCATGGAAACCAGTACAAAAATTCCCGAAGATTAACGTGTCAGCTCAGAGAAAGTGGTAGATCCTGGGGGGTCTCAACCAAATCAAAGGCGAGGGGGAGTCATGCAGATGCTGTAAGAGAAAGATCATGCAGAAGGATCGGGGAAGGGGGTCTGTTGAGGCCCGAGGCCAGGCGTGGTGACCCCAGGCCTAGAGCAGATTTCAGTGAGAGTGTGGTCTGGATGCTGCCACGAGTCGGGGCTAATGTGTGAGCTGATGTCGGCGAGGGGGCCAGCGAAGGACGGGGAGCTGCGGGTGGGCGGTCACGGGCCAGCGCCGTCACTCAGAATGGTCACTCAGAATGAGAAGCCGAGGGTGGAAAGACTCGAGCCATGTGTTGCAGGTAACAGGAGAGGACCGAGGGCAGAGGGTGGAGCTGCACAGAGGAGAAGCCAGTTCCAGCTTTCGTGTGTGTTTGTTTTGGATTTTGTTTTTGGACCACACGTGGTGATGCTCAGGGGTTACTCTCGGCTCTGCGCTCAGGGATCACTCCTGGGGTGCTGAGGGAACCATATGAGATGCCAGGACCAAATCTGGGTGAGCCACAAGCAAGGCAAACACCTACCTTACCCACTGTATATCGGTTCGGCCCCAACACCAGCTATTTTTTTTAATTTAATCTTATTTTTATAAAGCTGTTCACGATATGTGATTACATTTAATATTCAAACACCAATCCCACCACCATGATACCTTCCCACCACCATACTACCATCCCGAACCCCAACCCCTGCCCCCAAAGCAGAACTGAAATAATTTCTTTTGTATTGCTTGTTATGAATAATCTGCTACAAATGATCCAGAAAAAGGTTTCTTAGAGGAAAATGTGTGAAGATTGTTGTATTTCACCCAAGAGCCATTAAGCTCTTCTTTAAGAGATTAGTAACATGTTGTTAAAGGTTGAGTCTTGTGTGCTTATATATCTATAGCTGTGTAAATATATTTCCCCCTAAGATTGGACACCCCATCAAATGTGGTTAACGTGCTACTCTTGGTATATTAGTGGATGCCAGCTTTATTTAAGAGCAGAGGAATATTAGTCAAGAGGTAACAAGGACCCCCAACCCTACCTCCAGACCCTGAAGGTCATGGAGTGTTAAAGAATGAGCAGTGTCCTCCAAAGGCAGGGGTGGAGGGTGGGCAAAGCAATAGTACGGCAGGTAGGACATTTGCCTTGCACGCTGCTGACCCGGGTTCGATCCTTGGCATCCCATGTGATACACTGAGCACTGGCAGGAGTGACGCCTGAGCGCAGAGGCGGGAGTAAGTCCTGAGCATCACCGGTTGTGGCCCCAAATCATCTCTCTCTCTCTCTCTCTCTCTCTCTCTCTCTCTCTCTCTCACACACACACACACACACACACACACACACACACACACACACACACACACACACACCAAAGCTTGGGGAGAGTTAGAGACCAGACAGAAGACCCACATTTCATTACAGAGTGGCAGGGGGGGGGGGGGGCAGGTGGGGCAGTCAGTACAGGAACTGAGATTGCGGGGATTCTCGGTAACTAGAAAATAGGGTTTTGAAAGGAGCCCTGGGGACCTGGGGGCAAAGAGAAACAGGAAACTGGGTTTGGGGCACCCAAGGAAATCTGTCCCGAGGGTGGTGCTCGTCGGATGGGCTCGTGTTTGAGACAGCAGTCCTGAGGAGGAGACGTGGCATGAACCGTGGCATGAACCATTCAGGCAGGCCTGCCACATGGCTCCATCGACTGTCATCGGGCATCTGCCCCGGGACCACCACTGGTAACAAGCTTGGGCACCTCGAGTGAGCCAAGGTTCCCGGTGACAGTGAGCGCTCAGGGTGACGTGGCTGGTGCCCAGGGCCGCTCAGGGCCAGGGGCACATCCGTGAGAGTGTGATGGGAGAAAGACGCAGGACTCCCCGGGAAGGGTAGGGCAGCAGCGAACCAGGGGAAGCGGTGAGAGAGACGCGGGCTAATTCGGAGCTGCCAGGCAGGATCCTGAGATGGGAGGGTGGCCCCGTACGCTTCCGGTTGGGGCAGAGTCACTGCAGTGCTGTGTCGAGACATGGCCGCGTGGGCATAGGGAGCAGAGGGAGCGGGTTCTCGAGAAGCCTGGAGCTTGTCCTGGAGCAACGTGACCGGTGGAAACGCCAGGAGTACACAACGCGGTCGGTGGGCGAAGGGGAGCTCTCGGGCCTCAAAGGAGATGGCTGGAGCCGTATTGATGACCGCGGCTCCAGGAAGCATGGCTAGAATACGGTGCCACCAAAGAGATTAGAGCAGTGGTGCCCATCTCTCCACGCCTGCAAACCAGTAGGATGGGAAATCCTGTCTTCATACAGACAGCCGCTGTGCCCACTGCCCGGCACTCTGTTCTGCTCTGCCCTGCCACGGGGGCCTCGTGTCCCACGGGAGGAGAGCCATGACTGTTCCTCAGCCTGGCAGGACATGTCCGTAGCCCCGGGCTTTGGAAGCTTCCAGGCCTCAGTGCAGGCCAGAGACCAACTGTTGGAAGTGGGTTGGGACTTGGTCTGTGTGGGGTCCAAGGAAGCTCTCAGATGCCCGCACGCTGAGATCATGGCTCGGAGCCAACACTTGCCAAGTGCCACGTGGCTCACAGTTCATGCACCCCGGCCCTCCATGGCTTCCCCTGTGCATGCTCTTATCACAGCCATGGGATCTGTGCAGGACAGCTCAGAGCAAACTTCTGGGTGACACCTTACGGCGTTGTGGGTGACTCTTCAGGGAATCACTAAAACTGGTGGAAAAAGGAGGACTCATCCTGTTGGTACTAGCCTGAAGACAAGATTTGGGGCCAGAGAGATGGTACAGTGGGGAGGGCATGTGTCTTGCACGCAGCCAACCCAGGCTTGATCCCCAGCATCCCGTAGGGTCCCCTGAGGCCACCAGGAGTGTTCCTTGAGCGCAGAGCCAAGAATAGCCCTTGAACTCCACCAGGTTTGGCCCCTAAACAAACAAACCACTCCCCCCAAAAAAAATGAAACAAACCACCCCCCCCCAAAAAAAATGAAGACAAGACAAGTGTCTTCAAGTACCAGAAGTAATGTTTACAGAAGAAGACATGAACTATAGTGTGTGGTCTCGGGAACAGGACTGGTGGGGACATTTGGGGACCTTGGTTTAGTCCCACATAAGGAAGAACCCTCAGGCAGATGGGATTATTTACAGACGGATTCAGCGGCTTTGGGAAACGTTGCGTGTTCTTTCCCTTCAGATGGGCCGGTGACCCCTCCGCGGCGAGGCCAGTAGGTGCTGCCTGGGCCGCGGTTCTTCTCCAGTGCTGGCTCGGGGCAGGGGTGGGGGCGACAGAGGAGGCTTCGAGGCTGAGTTCTCGCCATTGACAGCGAGAGCGGAAAGTCAGGAACCGCCTGAACCCCCATGAAGACTCAGATATGGGGTGGGAAATCCAAGCATCTTTCCCTCTCCTAAGCACCCACCCGCGTGTGCATCCCCTAAACGTTCATAGGCAGGGGGTGTTACAGCCCAAAAGAAAGACCAGAAAAGATGATTCGGCTTGCCCTGGGCTGCTGCCGGCTCTTGCCACCACTGCCCTCGCCCCCAGCCTTCTCTCTAGCAGAAAAGCCAGGACGCCTTTGCCAGATACCTCCCCACTGGGCCACCTCGGAGCCCCGGGGAAGGTTGGGGTCAGCAGCCCTGATGCCCCAGAGAGCTCAAGGCTGGCAGCAACCTCTAGAGAGCTCGTGAGAACCACCCAGCAGTGGCGTTTCTCAGCCTTCCCCCCAGTGGTTTGCTCGGTCACATCTCTGGTTTTCATCAAGTCTTGCCTTCCACTTTCCTCTGTAGTCTCTTGGGATATCTTGTGGGCCCACAGGAAGTGGGGGCACATAGCCCACAGCTGAGCAGTACGCCCCCAGACCGCCCTCTTCCCTGGCCTCCGACCCCCGCCCCCTTACTGGCTGTTGTATGGACCGGCTTTCCATACGCTAGAAGAGTGCTACCACCAGGCCACACGCCAGAGCTGTCCCCAGAGAAATGATGGGTGCCTGACACAAGAGAGACCGCCGTCGCATTGTGGCTGCTGCGACCCACCAGAACTGGCAGGAAACTTCTGCCGAGCAGCCGCTGAGAAGCACTTTAGAGAGTAACCTCGATGTCCTTACCGAACCGGTCGGGAAAGTAGAGCCCCTGTTTTCCAGCATAGGGGGGTTTAGCCCAGACAAGTCAGTCACGGGAAACCACTCTGGCACCCAGAAACCAGAAGGGACAGGAGTGGCATTGTCCATCCGGCCGGTCCACAGCTCCCATAT